TCCCCCCTCCCCTCCCCCAACTTCGCCTCCCTCCAGGAAACCACCCTGGATCCGCCTATGGCTGTGGCCTCAACCAACTAAAGATCAAATTTGATATGATAAGACTTTTTTTTTTCTCTCTCTGAACAGATGAAGATGGAAAAAAGGAGGAGGATGAAAAAATCGTGATTGGCAAAGGCACCGCATATGGTTCATTCGCAAATTCCGCCCAGCAAACTCTGAAAGAACAAATGGCGCTGGTGACGAATGGAAATTGTGATAAGCTTGCTTGGCGTGGTGCCGAATTGCGCGAACATTTCCGTATGGTTTGGAAAAATGATGGGAACTTGCTGAGGAAGATGTTTCCTGTGTTCGACTCAGACGTAAGTTTTATTTCGATAGTGCTTTGTTCGATTTTGCCATTTCTTCGATCTATTTTTTAATACGGCTCTCCTGGTTTTTTTTGGAAATGATGGTCCTGCTTCAGGAACCGATCAGTACTCAGCAAATTCATCTTCCCTGTTGATTCGGGAATTAAGCGCCTAGTCAGCATGGTATTCTCATAAAAAAAAAAAAAAAACATTTCCTCATAAATGACATATGATGTTTGTCTGTGTCATGGATTAACTTTCTCTTCTTTCTCTCCTCTCTCACTCTGCTTGCTCTCTTCCTCTCTGATTTCTCTTTCTTTCGCATATCCGTCTTGTAGATTAGTTACATGACTGTTCAGGACATGACGGGTAAGAAGCTGTACTGATGATTCCAGCTCTTACCTGCATGCATAGTTTGGTATGTGTTTACAGCTAAGGGATGAAACACAGGCTGCATCGTAAAATGTCCTCTGGCACATGACACTTAAGTTTAACCCGTGGATAATTTATGTTTAGTGAACTGATATTTTGCCTTCTAATTGGTTTAGCATAATGCGAACTATCGTTTTTCTTAGACTAATAGTTTAGTTCCCTACTGGAGCAGTTAGTCCATTGACGATTGGTTTTGTTGAAAAGTTGCTACTAGCGCATGAAAAAAGCAAAATTACTACCTGTTTACTTCTAAGCGAAAGATGGAGCCATCAACAGCCTTACTGCCCTGATCATAGCTTTTGGTAGAGTTCTCCTTTTTGAGCTTCTTTCTAGTGCTTCTGTCTCAGCGGATGTCGTATAATGCAAAATTTTTCACTTTTCCATTTTGGAGAGTCGTAAAACTAGTCTGAGCTTAGGCAATATTGCTGTAAAGCAGTGATTCTCAACCTTTTTTTTTCCACCGCAGACTCATTTTTAGGTAAATTTTGCCGCCGCGGCTTTCTTTTTAAGCATCATTACCCAGCGAGAATTAATTGAAGGATTAAAGCACTAGACTGCATTCCGATTTTCTTATGAAGGGTCTTAAAATTTGGCGAAACGTGGAACTTGAGTTAACCTGTTAATATATATATACACACACACATACATACATGCATACATACACACACACTTACATACATGCATATATATATACACACACACACACACACACACACACGTATTATGATATTTTTATTGCAAGGGCTCAAATTGAATTTAAAATGATATCATTAACACTCTTCTCACTCAAATGACGATTTTTGGTGCTTTAACATGCTAATTTCGAATTTGTTGCTGATTTTTACATTAAAATTTGAAATTAATGGAATTCCCCTCAATTCTTCCCTTGTTTGTCTACCTTCACAACCTCCCAGTGACCATCTCGTGGACCTCAGGTTGAGAACCACTGCTGTATGGGGGTACGGAGGGTTTTTGAAGTAGTTTTTGGATTAGACTCAGTTCATCGCTGGAATTCTTCTCACTTCGTCCCGTATTTGTCTCCCTTCGCGACTTATCAGTGTCTATCTCGTGGATTGCAGGTTAAAAATCACTGCTATAGGGAAATACGGAAAGTTTTTTAAGTAGTTTTTGAATTAGTCTTAATGTATAGCTGTCGAAAGTGTATTTTGTTCTCTTCTGGACTCACTGCTTCCATGAAAAACTGTAGAGAATAACGGAGGATACATCGTTGACTTAGCAATCTACGCAGGTGTCAGTGGAAAGTTCGAGGAGAGTAGCAAATTCCGTTGTTGAAGTAGTTCTAGTGAAAAATGGGATTGCTTGAATATCTATACACAAATGCATTTTCACATACGCGTCAGAAAATTTTTTTTTTTCTCAACTTTCTGCTTGTTTTTAATGAATACTGCAATGTAGGATGAGAATTATTGCCCGATGGATATACTGTTTTGTGAGACTGTTCAAGTGCCGCCGACGAAATATCGACCAATTCGAATTTTCAAAGGCGACAAATTTGAAAATCCACAAAGTGTTAATCTTCGAAAAGTACTGGAAGCTTCGGAAACAATTCGTGCAATTTGTCTAGCACTCACCGGAAATAACGACAAATCACTTCTTGTAAGTTTAGAGGCACAAAAAATACTCTTTTTTTTAAATGGAAAAGGTTTTTTTAGTCTTATCTTAACATTTTTTTTAATATTTTTTGTTTTTTGGTGGAAAAAAGAATGAAATTTCAGAAGCTGATATCTGAACGCGTCTCTGGAAACACGATGCAGTCGAAAATGCATAATGCATACCTGACGCTGCAGCAACGCGTAGGAGCGATATTTGACCAGGACCTGGATAAATCCGTAGATATAAGATTGCGCGTCCCAGGAATCAAGCAAATTTTGGAGAAAAAAGAGGTAGGAGCACTTTTGTTTTATTAGTTTGTTAATTTTTTTTGCGTAAAACTGCTTGAATATATATGATGTGCATGATATACACATATGTGTATAGTATACAAATATATATGTATAAATACGTACATGCATAGGTACCTACATACAGGCATACATACATGCATACATACATACATGTATACATACATACGTACATACATACATGCTTACATACATTCATGCATGCATACATACATACATGTATACATACACACATTTATATGCACATGCATGCATACATACAAACATACATACATAAACATATATACATGCAAACATAAATGCATACATACATACATGCGTGCATACACACATGCATACATACATATATGTATATATACATATATATATTTTATATATATATATATAT